TACTGCTACACCGGTTACCGTGACAACCCTAGCCCTGACACACTTTCAGATATTCTCATGGTGCAGCTGTGTTCTCCAGAGATCAAGGACTATGACCCAAATCAGGCTGTAATGCTTTGGCACAATGACGGTGTCAAAACCAGGAGGCCAGACTTCATGGACAGAGAAAACAAGGAGTCTGACTAGATTTCAATGAAAGAGTTCATAAAAACATCTCTAAAAATAAATAAATAAATAGTAAAAATGACAAAAGAGTTGTTTTTCTTATTAATTGAAGTTTTAATTATTTTGTCACTCTGTTTGGAATCAACATAATATAGAATTACATGCTTTAGGTAGATCTAAATCATTTAGAATTTTGGCCGGTAAAAAATATGCTTGGCCGGTAGATTTTCATCATCTACCGGCCAACTTGGCCGGTGAGTAAAAAATTTAATTTCGGACCCTGGTCACCGCGTCTCGTTATTGGCACTATTTAAACCAATGTTGTAAAACTACTTCTGCCCAGCCCAGATGTGCTCACATGTGCACCCGTGAGCCGTGGCTCCGCTGGAACGCGTCTGACCTCTGACAGACGCACTCTGAACCTGACACGTTTAGAATGCTGTCCCACAGTCAGTGTGCTAATATAATAATATAATAATGCTAAAATGCTCAGATGGGAATAATTTCTTGATTTATTTTGTTACATCCACAATGTTCTGTGCGTGAGGTTTACAATGTCAGAACACCTGCATGAGACAGGGTGTTAATTACAATCTGCCAGAATGACTCACCACCTTCAGATTTCTCCAACATCGTTAAAAATGATCAAATACGGAGCATATCAGCGTGCGCAGGCCAGAGTGCTGAAGCTCGGCGCATTGTTATTATGAAGCTAGGGCACATGCGGAGGACACACACACGCAAAATATACTTGTTTTCAATTACATTTATTGGGCCCACTTACTTTTTCTTAGGCCCACCCACACATGAGTTTCTGGCTATGCTAATGGTGACATATGACAGACTTCTCTGAGCTCTGCATCCATTACACTTTTCACCTCGCGCACCCCCTAGCGGCAGCTCTCGCACCCCCAGGGGTGCGCGCACCACACTTAGGGAATCCCTGCATTAGTGTAAGATTATTTTAGAATACCTGCACCATCAACTGCAACCCTGGACATTTTTTATATTTACTGGGCTTACAGGGATTGAATCAAAGCTGAAATGACTAGTAAGCAATGACATTCACTGTTTATTGACCTAGCACTGACCCATTCCGCTACCTGATCACACCACTTACATCAAAGCCGAATGCATTTCTAAATGAGGGTACTCCTGCGCCAACATCCACGTGGGATTGAAGTCACATTGCCGCCCTGAAGGGGACTCATCTCACAGCAGATGCAACAACTACGGCTGCTCTGACAGCTTGTCTCAAACAGGACTGAGTTAGTGCCTTCTTGTTAAGAAAGTTGACGTTCAGCTCTAGCTGCAACACGGGGATGAACAAATAATAATAATTCTCAGTAAAGTCAATAAATGTACTTGAAAACAGTGAATCAAATTTTGTCGTTACAGTTTTTGCTATAGCTTAATATATCAGCTTCAGCTCCTCTAATGCCCTCGTGGTTCTGCACAGATCTATATTATCACACTTCTGCTCCCTGCCACATCATGCTGATTAGAGCAAGCTTTTCAAAATGAGCCTGACCTGTGCAGAATTAATCACCAGCAATGGCTGCACAATGTGTGTCACCTAAGATTTCAGGAAGACTCAACCCTGACTTGGTCTGGCTTCATACAAATCTAAGTAATGATAATAATACTGTTATGAGATTAGTGGTGGCAGATGTCTGCAATGGCTCTTCACGAGCCGCTCCATTTCAGATAAGACTGATAAATGACCGATTATAGAGGATTTCATAGTTTGGAAAAATGGGCACCGTTCAACTAAACATTTTATGGAGACTTTCAGCACTGCAGTGGCAAAATAAATTATATGAGGAAATTAAAAATGATTCCCTGTGACCATCTAAGATCTGAAGACTGAAATTAACCAGTTATAAAAAAAAGTGTTGAGATGGGTTTTGCATCTATTACAGGTGCAATTTCAGTTTTTTGTGTCATTTCCTGTGCTCCCAAATAGTTCCTCCTTGCACTGATTCATCTCCACATGTGTCTACAAAGGTGCAAGGCTGCACTTAGAGCCAATGTTGGTAGAAAGTCCTTCTGTAGCCCCAAAATGTAAATAAGAAAATAAAAAGTTAGATTTTTGCAGTTTTCAAAATACGCTTAGCATGAACTATGTACCACCTCTGGACAGCTGGTAGATTTGCATCGTTCACCTTTTTGATTAGAATCAAACAATTGTGAAGGAACAATGAGAAGATGTTGCTCTGGAAAGCCCAAGCTGGTTTAAACTGATTTAGAAAACTAATCCGTATTGTGTGCTGGTATAGATTACTGATTGAAGATGTTTGACCTCTCATCCAAAGGGCTTCTTCAGTTTATACCGTGTGTTGGGATTCCAGGGCAAAGAAATTCCTACAGGTGGCTAATCCACCCCTCCATCCAATGAAAAGTCCCATCATTTGATGAATTATTGTCAACAATGTTGCTTTGCAAGTGGTTTAGACCGAATTAAAGGTTGAAAATGGAACAATTTGACACAAAGCTATATTTTTAAAACAAATACCTCCAAGGGGTGTTTAGAGGTGTGCAGAATGGAGGTACAGTTTTTCCCTTTAAAAGCTATATTTTAATAAAAAAAAATATATATATATATATATATTTTGATGGGCACGACACTGGGTTTACGTTTACATCTACCAGTATGTAGAGGGCGCCATTGTGGCATGCCAAGCAATCCACTCGGCACAGCTAGGCTGGCACTGTGGAAATGTCTCTGCAAGTCAGGCAGCTGCTCCTGAGCCCAGAAGATGTCGTTATCCTTCTCAGAAGAGGAGCGACCATAAAACCAGAGTAAGTTTAGGTGAAGCCTACAACAGATGGATCCAAATAAATTATTTCACGCATCTGCAGCAAACCTAGTATCCCGACGGCTGGAAATCTTGTTTTATTCTTTGAACTACAACTTCCACAGAATAGATGTTGCTTTGGTGTCCGTGCACCATATTCTACCTTTAATGGTATCCTGACAGCTTTGACACTAGAACTCCCAAGGCAGTCACTTTGACCAGTTAAAGTGTAATAACTAGTTACACAGATCTTACGTTGTCCTTGCTTCCTGACTTTTTTCTATTTAGATATATGTCCTTTATTTACATGTCAATAAAATAAAATATCTAAAAAGAAATATGGCTATCTTTATCTTCCATAAACATTGACTATTATTTACAAGGTATATTTGTACTAAAGATGTGCATCACTGTTGCCCAGCAAATGGTAAATAGTCTGTATTTGATACAGCACCTTCTGTGATTTTTATTAAGAGGCGCTATAGAAAAGATATTTTCTTCTTCTTCTAGAGTTTTAGAAACCCCCCAAAGTGCTTAAAGCTTGGTTTATGCTTGACGCATTTACTTTCCACTTGGTGATGCGGCTCGCGGATGGAACGCGCTTCACAACTTGCAGCGTTTATGATTCATGCGGCTTGTCTCTGCGGTGAGCCAATATTCTCCCAAACTGTAGGGAGCAGCATGGAGCTCTACAGCATGCATCCAACGCCACACCATAGTAGAAGTAGAAATTACTGTTTACAACATGGCATTCCAGCATTTTTTAACAGCGTCCTCGTCTTTTCCGACAGCGCGAGCTATTTCTCTCCAAGAATTATTAACGACATGTTGATCACGGCGATCTTTGAGAGCTGAATCATACAAATGTCTGTATTTACGAACCTCTGCCATACTAGTTCTTGCCGGTCCGCAATGTTTTTCCACGTCCGACCGTCCACGTGGTTAGAAATTTTCCTAGGTGCGCGTTGTGGAAATTTTGGGCCGTGCGGAGACGCGCTGGAGGGGCGTGGTTAAAATGACGCAATTTCGCCGCGCGGTCGCGTCAAGCATACACCAACCTTTACAACACAATCAGTCATTCACCCATGCACACACTCACCCCCCTGGCGATGATGAGTTAAAATTCAGCCACAGCTGACCTGGGGCACACTGACAGAGGTGAGGACTGGCACCACTGGTCCCTCCGACCCCCACCAGCAGTCGTGATCGATCCTGCAACCCTCCGATGACTAGGCAACCATCATTCTAGCTTGTGCAATTTCTCTCTGGTCACATTCTGTGAAAAATTGCTGCTAATGTGGCTTTTAGAAGAGAATTGTTGGTGAAACGGGTTAGAAATGCCGCTTCAGGTGGAGAGGGCAAAGCTGATGATAACTGGTTTGTAAGTGGCTGAGATTCTGACAGCAACACACAAGACGATCCATTACCCCCAGGGGTGGGCTGGGACCATAATTAAGCCCTGGAATATCTGCATCCGGCCGTGTGCATTATAGGGGGAGAGGAGGGCGAATGTCTGAAGAATCCTTTATAAACATCTGCCAATGGGTAGGAGGCAGATTGTTGCTGCAGCCTGCTCCATCCTCTGATAGGATCTCTGGGAGGAGGAGCCCTCCCTCCTCCTCCTCCCACGGATGGGGGTGGGGGGAATGGGGGTCACCGACAATGGTCCGGAGCACATCCACTGCCTCTAGAGCAACCGGCCATTCTGGGATTCTCCAGAACTCACAGATTGCCGGTCTGCGTCTGCCTACCCCCCATGATGAGGAGCCATGTCAGTGTACGTTTACATTGTATTATTAGGTCTACATGTCCATAACTAGTTAACTTATATCACACTAGAACTCACGTCGTCAAAATGACTACTGGTGGGCACCCTAGTTGTATCAGAGTTCTGAGTCCTATGTGATTAAACCATTTCAAATGTGCTGATTTTCAGGTAGCGCAACCAAGTTTTCACTCTGCCTGCTTAAAAACCTTCTACAAAAGATGAGAGGAGGGGAAATCTAAAGAAAAGTTCATCTCTTCAGCATCTTCTACCTGTTTGACAGTTTCCAGCATGCTCTTCCCTCCTTGCCATGGTTTGGAGTTCTTCCTGATGCAGCTCAGACTGGCCATGCTGTGCCACTTCCTGTCCTCCAGCTTTTTGTGGAAGGTGTTTGCCAGCAGCAACACGGTGTCATAGATGTAGCGGTTGGTGATCTATAGAGAGCAGGAGATGGAGAAAAAGGCCAAAATGAGGAATTTTATTTGAGTTACTTGAAAGGGAATTGAAGAAGAACAATAAGCAAAGTACCAATTTTTGCTAAAATCACAGATATTTGGTTTATTGGTGACCTATGCATTAAGTTCATTGTTGAATTTATTTTTCTTTGCAAACAAATTTTAGATACATTTAAGTCCCACTTTAACCTAAGCACATAAACACAATAGAAATGCTGTTAGAATGACATTAAAATGCATCAAAAGGGCTTCGACTTCTTCAGAGAGAGGGAGAAGTGAAACAAGGGGAGACTTTTTAGTCTGTAATTAATCATTGTGTGATCCACCAAGCCTCGTGTCTCCTTTTTAATGAGGAGAATACAAAGATCGACTATACTAGTTCATTCTCTGCTAAAACACAAAATGTCATTGCATTAATAAAACAACTAAACAACAAAACAATATGACAGCATCAAGGAAACAAAAGAAAATCAAAAAAAAATATTCCACTTCATGCATCAAAAAGCAACAAGATGTCCTTTTTACTTTGTGTTGGAACCACAGACTGTCTACTACTTCAAAGGATCCAAACACTGATTTATTTTTTATGAATCTAACCATTACTGTCGTGCTACCATCTATTACTTGTATCCTAACCTTTGTAGAGGAATGTTATGTATGTTGTTGTCGAAAACAAAGAGAATCAACAATTACCGTGAGTCTTGTGAAGGGATTTATTAACATAGCAGCAAAAACAGTTACGCCATTTACAGTCCTGCAGCTTTACAGCTTTGGTGACCTCCCCTCATACCTTTAAATGTGTCTTAATGCTCTCATTCACTCGTTTTTTTCAGTACATTTTCAGTGGTTTCTAATGTGAATGAATGCCTTGAATTGTTTATTGTGGTGGAAAAAGCTCTGGAAAGCTCCTGTTTCAGGAAGTAGAAGTTAGCTGAAGATGAGGAAGCAGAAAACTGCAGGATTTGGAGTCTTGCTCATTATTATTAATGATATGAACATGTCTCACCGCTGATTGGCTAATAGGAACGCTACTCTTCTGCTGCCTCCCTTTGTTCTGTAGTGTTGATGCTTTGCCTCCATAGGTAACACAAACCTAAACCTGTTGTGGAGTTGCTAATGCTAACTGTTAGCTTCTACTAGGCGAGATGTGCTCTACTCTTTCCTGGATGCAGATTTCTTCAGATGGCGAATCAAGATGGCTAATTTGTCTTTCAAACAGGATTAACTCATTAATTGCCATTGACGACACAAGTCGTTATTTGCATTTTTTTACCATGTGGGCATCGGAACGAGCCCCCGCACCGTGAGAACAAACATCCCAGCTCTAAAGCCAATATTCATTTGCCTACGTCACACGTCACATGATCAGGAAGCAGAAAATCCATGTGTTGAGAGATCATTTTTTGGCCGTTGCAGTGAAAAAAAGTGAGGCACGAACCGGTAAAGCTTCTGCCAATCACAATTCGACAACGGATTATGACAGAACAGATAACGCTTGAAACGCGCAGTTTCTTCCTGATGTTAGAGGTGAGTCTCCTCTTTGTTTTGGTAGTTTTGGCATCGACATCATCATAGCGAGCAACGTTCTGTGACTCAAACAGTGAAAACACTGAAAAACGCTGGCAGCGAAGGGCTTTTCTGATCAGGAAATGGCTGGCAGTGAATGAGTTGAACGAGTTAATGTTGGTGTAAGGCTTCACTGTTGCAGACATGCCACTCAATCCCTAAATCAAACACCAGCTGAAACAAAAATAAATAAATAAAAAGCAAAACCTACAAAACAGAAAAAATGCCTTCCTAATTGGGACATTAATATCTGTGGTTACCCATCTATGTGTTCCTTGATTGAGCCGCTGTTTGCTCCCACCGCTCTGAAAACGTCTTTATTCCCAATCTTTGTGAAAGCTAAATCCAAAATGTCAGTGATTTTGTTCTTTAAATGAGGCTGTGGGGTAAAACGGTGTCCCGCCACTGATGAATACAAAATCTTCAATAGAAATTCATTAAAAGAGCAGACAGAGGCATTTTAATTTATTCCCAGGCTAACAGATGCATCAAGGCATTTGTTGCACATGCTGTGTTTGCATCATATTTGCTTAGTGTTGCTTGTTCGGCGTTTTACTTTTCGTTGATTGTGATGTTATTTAAAAATGAAATGAGGCAATAGAGTTGGGCAGTGGCAAATGTTTTCTGCTTCATTAAAGAAACAGTAGTGTTGGACAGTAAAATAACATTTAGTTCATGCAATTCATCAAAGTTACTCCTGAAATCATTTGCCTGTCAAAGCTTTATTTTAAATGTTCCACTTTGTATCTTTGTCCATCATCAGAAAACTAAAGCGAAAATCTGGTCTGAGGGGAGCTGGAGTTCAACGCAAGAGAGTAGTACGTGCGCGCGCGCGCGCGTACTTGTCTTTATATGCTTAAGTGGACACATTTTTAGCATGTAGTGTGTGCACAATTCCACATTGTAGGGGCATTTGGCTGGTCCACACAATGACCAAATACGCTTAAATACTGTTTGAGAGGTATGGTGTGCATGAACGTTTGGTTTAGGTTAGGGTTAGACATACTGGAGTCCCAAAAATGAATTGAAGTCAATGAAGGGTCCACACAAGGATACAAAGACAAGTGTGTGTGTGTGTGTGTGTGTGTGTGTGTGTGTGTGTGTGTGTGTGTGTGTGTGTGTGTGTGTGTGTGTGTGTGGTCAGCCTGAGTTGATGTGCTTCATTGCAGTGTGAAATTGGGCTTCTGGCCCACTCTGTGACTGTTGGGCTGATCTGCTACCTCAGTCACCCTCACTTTTTCTCTTCACCTTTCCCTTATTGGAAATTTAATTTACAAATTTACCCCCCCCCCCCCCCCCCCCCCCACACACACACACACACACACAGCCCATCACAACTCGATATGTATACAGCATGTTACGGGGATTGAAAAAGAACGTTTGACCTTGGATTAAATGAATATTAAACTACGCAAACATAGAGAACACAAATGACAATTCCCTCAACAGATGACCGAAATGCAATGACTATTATTAATGACATTATTAATAATTACCTGTAAGAGGACCTTGATTTATATCTGAGTTTCTTCTGCACATCCTTTAGCACAGGAGCTCTTTATTAACCTTGCAGGCCTTTATTACCTCGTTTCATTACATAAACACATAATAAACTGCATGTTGTAAGATCCAGCCGCACACTCCGATTCACATCAACTCCGTTTGTGGAATTGTTGAACTGAACTATTTTAAAGCCTTGAAGGAGGATATTTACATAAGCATTAAGAACATTTTTGTGTCGTGAGTGCAATCTCTCATTAAAAACATTCCTCCAGGGATTTGTGCATCAACATAAATCAGCAACACTTGAACTCAATTTTGCATTTTTTTCTCGTCATATAAATAAGACTGTTCCCTTCTCTTCGTTTGAATTGATGGTAGATGATGGCTCGTATAAAAAAATATGTGTTGCCAGCCTGGAGGCCATTTACCCCATAATAAAAATAAAATAAATGTAATAAATAAACTACATTTTGTGACTAAACGATAAAATCAAGTTGTGATTTCAAGATCTTAGGTTGTACTTTTGGTGCCAACTAAAAAATTAATTACGCAACTCTTGCACAGATGAAACATTTAGTGAGTGTGTTTGTGCTTTTATTTCATCAACAACAGTTCTTTAGCTTTGTGAGTTTTTCCAAAGCCACTTTTCACTTGTTTTCTGTTGCATGAGTGGATTAAAATGTTGGAAAGGTTTGGAACAAAGCATCTGTTAAACCTAAAAAGAAAAAAATATATATCTGTAGCAGATGGACAGCGCCTGAAAGTCATATCTTTAAGAAACTGGTAGAAATTTTGACAAATGAAGGAACTGAGAGATGCATCATCCTTGAGATCCTTGAAAAAATATATTTTATTTGTCCAGCTGTGTTTTTTCGGTATTTTTCTCAGAAAACACGATAAATTGGGAAATGAAAAAGTTTCCTGTCACTAGGGGGCAGTACATACATACATTTCATGGTGGTTTTACACCATATCGCCGTGACTGTCGCTAAACTAATAAAACATTACGGTAAACGTTGTTACCTGTGCCGCAGAAAGCACGCAACCTCGGCGTGACTCCTCAGACTTTGATGGTCCTTCACTTAATTCCATCAGGTCAATGCAACGTTGATGCTAGTTTTCTGGCATCTGCCGATGAGCAATACCACTCAGCCAAATATATTGCATCTCTTTTTCCAATTCTGTTCTTTCACATCGAATTTGAAAAGAGTTTAACAGTTTTGTTATTAAATTTATGTTTCTCACAACCTAATCATTTTCATTAGTTAAGGCGCTTATCTAATATTAAGTCGATCTTAACAAAACAGGAGTTGAAATCTGTAGCCAATGCTTTTATCATCTCTAGGCTAGAGTGCTTCAACTCCTGGCTTGAGCCAGTCCTTAATGACTCGGCTCCAGATGGTCCAAAACGCTGTTGCCAGATTTCTGTATGGACCACGTAAGTGGGAGCATGTCACTCCCCTCCTGGCAGCTTTGGACTGGCTAGCGGTGAAGAGTTGCATCTTGTTCAAATTCCTGGTCCTTGTTTTTCAATCTCTGTCTGGATCAGCGCCACCATATTTAGCCTCCCTGCTGAGCCGTTATGTCCCTGCAAGATCGCTACGTTCGGGACAGAGTGACCTTTTGGTGGTACTCCGATCAAAGCGTAAGTCTAGGGGTGATCGTGCAGTTCTAGGTCCTCGACTTTGGAACCAGCTCCCACAAGGAATGAAGCAGTCCACATGGCTGCCAACTTTTAAAGAAGGGCTTAAGCTGTATTGTAGATCTGTTTTTTTGTTGTTTTTATTCACATTCTAATGTTTTTGATCACTATTTTTATTGTTTTTAGCTAATTTTTTTGTTTTTAAATGTTTTTATCTCTGTATTTTATTATAGAGCTGTTCCATTGTGCTGCTTCTTTGCACTATGTTCAGCGCCTTGGGCCCCCTTGATTGGGGGTGGGAAGGGGCTTTATAAATAAAATGATTGAGTGACTGATTTTTGAAAATGGTAACAAAACTTCTGTAAGTCACACATCCAGGCAAACATCTAGTGTGATGCCATCAACGTGCACAGGAACCAGCCAGAAGGAACCATGGCATCTAACATGGTGTCCCACAAAGACGCTAGACACATACTTTAGACCCAATTTTCATGATTATATGTTACAAAGCCGCCAATATTTTTCAACAACTGGACATAACTTTATTCATTTTCAACAACATTTAGATGGATATTTGCAGAGATGAAAGGTAAAAATACACAGTCATAATCAATGGTAAATGGCCTGTATTTGTATAGCACCTTCGTAGGGTTCTACAACCCCCCAAGGCGCTTTACAACACTATCAGTCGCCCACCCATTCACATGATGGTGGGGATGAGCTACAGTGTAGCCACAGCTGCCCTGGTGCGCACTGACAGAGGCGGAGCCTGCTGAACACTGGCGCCACCGGTCCCTCTGAACACCACCAGCAGGCAAGGCGGGTCAAGTGTCTTGCTCAGGGTTGGAGCCGGATTCAAAGCTTCAGATTGGACAACCCGCTCTGCCTCCTGAGCTACTGTTGTCCCAATAATTAAAAGGGGAAGCTAATTTATGAGATGGACTCATTACATGCAAAGCCAGATATTTCAAACCTTTATTTGTTGATATATAACAGGATTTTTGCACGATATTCTGATTTTTCGAGTTTCACCTGTATGTTTGGACCGATTGTTGTATTTACCAATATTTTAAATCAGAATTTCTCAAAAGATGTGGATATACCGGTCCAATCAAAAACCAACTCACCTCCAGCTGCTGAGCCTTGGCGTTTTTGGGGTCGCAGAGGGAAGTGTTGATCCTGTGGTTGTGTTTCACGCAGCGCTGAGTTGTATTTTGGGGCATTGGAAACATTTGGCGTACCAAGGTGAGCCGACCGATTGACTTCATGACTAACTCCTGTAAGTCATAGTCTGAGATCTCCTGCAAAGGTGCAACAAGAGAACAGAATACACAACATCAGCACTGTTGCATTTTTAAATAAAAACGAGTGAAAAATCTAAATCATGTATGAAGGAAACTGTTTAATATATAGAAAGGAGTGGAAAAAATAAACACTTGTGAGTGTCTGAGTGGTAGCATGTGCACACACGTGTTTGCACATACACTGTGCCCTTGCAAATCCTTGGGGGAGGAATCATTGCTAATTTTAGCCTTAGGACAGAAAGCCTCCCTAACGCTCCATTCATAGATCTCTATCCATCCTCGGTGTGCACAGGGTCATGCGATGACGAGATGAGAGCTGACGTTTATCGTCCCTGGTGGAGGAAACATCACCACCAACCGAGGCAGCCTTTGCTTTGTTAGAGTACCTGCGCAGTGATTCCACATCATATTTTTTGTGTGTGTGTTCGGGTGTCCTGCTGTGCACATGCTGTTTCGTGCATAAATCAGTGTGTGTGTGCCTCCATGAGATTGTTTTGAATCCCACCAATCATGCAAAACCTTTTTGATGCCATTATATTTGCACATGGCAGAAAACTGGGCAGGATGGATAGCACTGAGAAATGCAGAGGCTGCTTACACATTAAGTGTCACACACCCTTTATATTAGTGAGGGGTAATATTATAGGTACCTCGCCTCATTGACTAATCTCAGCAAGCCTAATTAACATTCATTAAGTCCTGCAAGTCATCATAGGATGATTAATAATTATGATGGTTGTTTTTTTTACAGTCAATATTACTATAGCCCATGTGATCTGTGCTAATTAGGCGGATCTATGGTCTTTTTCTCTGTTTACACATGTTTTCTTTTGAAAATCAACTTACTCTGCAGGGATCCATTAAGCGTGCCTCATCTTTAAATCTTCTGCTGTCTGATTGTGTTCGACTTTCCAAATTTGGTAGAAATCTAAAAAAAACTGAGATCTCGAAAGACCCAACGGGGACTTGGTAATAAAACCCACACAAGAGATGCAGAACTGAGACAAAAAAAATGCTGAAATAGTGAATTTGTGGGTCCAAAAGAGAATTAAGATTCACTGCAAGCCATCAAGGGCATGCAAGGAAAAAATCAGCATGCAGCAATGATCCAGGGTGCTTCACTCGAATGATCAAAACTCAAACCAACACGCATGAAGCGTCACACAGGAATAAAATTAAAAGAATCCCTACACCTTACAGCAAAACTTCACTGGAAACTCTTATATTTTTTTAGTTCTGTCCTTTAAACATGCATCTTCAACTGTCATATTCTATTTGCCTCTTTGTCTGCATTTCCCTGTGGGCAAACTAGACAGTCATCACCCAGTATGACTTTCAAAGTTGTTAGCCCTTTAACAGCTAAAACAAAGTGAATGTGACACGTCGATACACCCTGAATAGCACATGCTCTCGTGTGCAGAGCACCGCCACGCCGGAGACGCAGGATGGAGAGGATATTCTGCAGCGTTAGCAGCATTCAGCTCGTATAACCCAACCAGTCATTCAAGTTTCAGGTTTTTCCTGTCTCGTTTCATCCGTCAGCTCTCCTGCTCTCAACCTTTCATGGCCCTCTTCATCTACAACATCAACTAAAATCACTAAATACTAAAATTAGCTGTTCATCTTAAATAGTTTAACTTTCTAATGCTTTGGTTTATTCTTAAAAACACCGTAAAATGTTGATTTGTTTGAGTTTCCTCAGTCAGAATCTGTCAATTATTGCCTCGTTTGCCTAATTTTGAAAAACCCACTCAGACATGTAATCCTAATCAACACCTGAGCAAAATGCACATTAATATTCATTAACTCCCATCAGTCTCAGTTTTGAAATGAATATTTATTCACAAAATCAGTTATTCTGAGGATGATTGGGTGGAATTTTCCTCTGCTGCAGCTCCTGCAAACCCAAACTCCGGGTAAGCTGTAAACCCCAGGACGCCCTGCAAATTAAATTTGTGGAAAAACTTTAAGCTGTTGAGTTTATTAAAGTGAAGTTTTGGACTGCAGGCACTTCCATCAACACTCACCCATCTCTTTTCCTTTATACCCACAAAGCACCGAATCCTCCTCTTCGGCATTTCATTTGAAGATGAAGGTCAAAAGGAAAATATCCTTCATCCTCACTTTCTTGTTTCCTGATTCCTTTACTTTGTCAAATGCATTTTATCCCTTCCATCACTTCTTTTCTCTGCTCTTCACTTTAAGTCACCAAATCCCTCATATTTTTCTCCTCAACTGTAGACGAGGAAGAAGACGGCTTTTGAAAATTCTCTAAGTTTCTTCCCACAATGCTCCACCACTCGGCACCTTCACGTTGTTCTATTAGAGGACATCAAATCTGCCAGTTTGGCTCTCATAAAAAAATTCACTTGATATTTTTCTACCCTGGGTGTCTCCTTCATCCAGTTCTCACTGTGGTACCAAGACCTCTTGCATGTACTGGTTCTGGTACCCTTCATTTAGAAATAAAGAAATAAGCTAGAACAATGTGATAGAGAACTTCCACACTTCACCTGCAAAATTAATTCCTTGTTCCAACAAGAGAAAAATGTCAAAGAAATGACAATAAAAATGATTTGCTTTTGCATGATAGATATTTTCTACTGATGCTCATTGTAAGATTTCTTGAAGTGACTCACATCACTGACAGTATGGGCATTTTTTTTTATTTCATTCAAAACACAACATAAGGAAACAAAAATGAAAACTCAGTCTGATAAAAGAATGAAAGGGAGCAGGTAGAAGAGATACACTTATTAATCTCTGCCCCTTTTTCTAAGGTGAGGAGTAAAGGAAAAAGTCTTTAACAAATAAAATACAACATCAAGTAAATATACAACAGAACAAGCAATTTAAGTTCACACAATACAACTACTACTATTTCCCTTTAACTTGTATAATTCTCAAAAGGAAGTAATTTAATCGTCGTCGTCGTCTTCCTCCGCTTATCCGGGTCCGGGTCGCGGGGGCAGCATCCCAACTAGGGAGCTCCAGACCGTCCTCTCCCCGGCCACCTCCACCAGCTCCTCCGGCAGGACCCCAAGGCGTTCCCGGACAAGATTGGAGATGTAACCTCTCCAACGTGTCCTGGGTCGACCCGGGGGCCTCCTGCCGGCAGGAAATGCCCGAAACACCTCCCCAGGGAGGCGTCCATGTTTATTTTCTTTTTAGACTAAAAATACAATTAAATATCTGAAAATTAGGGTATTTTATTTTCTTAGAGACCATTTTTTGCAGTGTATCAAGACCTTTGCATTGGGGAAACTAAACAGCAACTACGCAAGCGCATGGCACAGCACAGAAGAGTCACCTCTTCAGGTCAAGACTCTGCAGTCCACTTACATCTGAAGGACAAGGGACACACTTTTTTAAATGATGCACCCTGCACCTTGTTGCTTGACATTTGTATCTCCAGTACAGTTGGAAAGTGACCACTCAGTACTGTGTGCAGTAGACTTTTGAAAATATTTATTGACTTAAGGCCTAAAGAACATGTTTTATCACCTGCCAGTAGCATGCAAATGATTGGGTGTTTTTGACCTGTCTTTATAAAACTACATGTTGCAAAAACAACTGAAAATATGTTAATTGGATGGAAAGTGTGAATCTTTTTGTTTTCCTGAGAGACAACGCAGAAAAATACAAACAAAGCACACTTATTTAAGGTTGTAAATAACCCCATGGGGCACTAAAGAATGATGACAGGACAGAAAATATACAGTTTTGGACTGAGTCAGAGTGATAGTAGAATTATCTTTTAAATTCAAAAGAATGACAAGAACAAGGAAAGCCCTGAGCAGCTGCTATCAGTAAATGTCCTCATATTTGGCATCCTCTGATCCTGAGGAGAGAATGTGACTGGTGACAGTAGGATGATCAATTATAAGCTGTGAACTCCCCCTCAGTGGTACAGTCTGACTGTTGGCTGTAGATAAAACTGAGTTATGACAACCATACAGTATCCTCTCATGCATAATAATCCATAGGAATGGAGAACACTTTGAACACGGGAATCTTCAGTCTCCAAAGAAACAGTAGAGAAGGACATAATATTAGGAAAAATATTCAAATAGACGCAAGTTTAACTCTTAAAGACCTTGGAATATTTCGTATAAATCTAAATTTTTGCAGCCAAGTCTCAGTCTGAATCTTTTTAGAAGAAGTTTGTGGTGAAACTGTTTCATGTGGTTTTTATTTACCTACTTTTCATTTACTATTCATCTATCAATTCATCCATTATCATTTTTACTTGTTGGAATATCCATAACCATAGATGAGGGTAGGAATGTTATCGGCCGGTAAATTGAGAGCTTCGCCTTCTGGCTCAGCCACTCCTACGGAGGAATCCCAAGGCGCTCTCTGGCCAGCTGAGAGACATAGTCCCTGCAGCGTGTCCTGGGTCTTCCTTTAAGTTTTCGACCAGTTGGATGCACCTGGAAAACCTCACCAGGGAGGCATCCAGGAGGCATCCCAACCAGGTGCCCAAGCCCCTCCCAGAGGACAGAGCTTCTCACCTTGTCAGTAAGGGAGAGCCCAGCCACCCAGTGGAGATAACTAATTTTGACCGCTTGTATCCGCTATCTTGCTCTTCTGGTCACTTCCCAAAGCTCGTGACCATAGATAAGGGTAGGGACGTAGATCAATCAGTAAATCGAGAACTTCACCTTCCGGCTCAGTTCTGTCTTGGTGATGTGCAGGAGCAGGTGGGAAATGGCATGTCAGTGAAACTTCAAAATAAAGACATTTTAAAAATGGGGCTGCATGGTGGCGTAGTGGTTAGCACTGTTGCCTCGCAGCAAGGAGGTTGCAGGTTCAAAACTCGGCTGCGGCCTTTCTGCGTGGAGCATCATGTTCTCCCCAGGCATACGTGGGTTTCCTCTGGGTATTCCGGGTTCCCCCACAGATCACAAAATGCCTGATAGTTTAACTAATTTACGTCACTTTGGATGCCAAATAAATAAACATAAAAATTAAATTGGATTTGATAATCACTTAATAGATTTTAGCTTTTTGGAACAATGACTACATAATTGATGTATTGTTATACTCCTAATAGACATGGACTAGACCTATAAACTCTGCATAATGGGCTTGACACACGGGAGGCGACAAACAACCGCGATCAGCGAAATTTGTCGCCGTCGCTTTTATTACCTGACAGACGGGAGGCGATCCACGGCAGCGGCCAGCGGCAAAGCCGTCTATGCGTTCTGTTTTGTGGCGAAATCGAAACTTCCGTTGTTGTGATTGGCTGTGTCAGGTTGGAGGGAATTAAGGTTATTTAAGCGGTTCAGAGTTAAAAAAGTGGTAGAGATGATGTTTCACAAGGTGCTGCTAGAGTTATGTGAAATCTTACTTCTGATTTTACTATAAAACATAATAATAATCAACTCCTCCATGTTTACTCGGAGGTGTACGGAGCATCATGTCCGCTCATTGGTCAGTGAATGAAACCGCCGTTGATTGGTCCTCGTCCGAGCGACAGCGATGAAAAGTTGAAAATGTTTCAACTTTCTGTGATCGCGTCGCTGGGTCGTCTGTGAACGACACGTGCACGAGTGCAAAATTTCACACGCACATTTTTCGCGTTTCGCTTAGTAGGAGGGAGACCCGCGATTATCGCTTTGTCGCACATGTCTCATTGAAAATGAATGGAGGAGAGGCGATGTCGCCTCCCGTGTGTCGAGCCCATAACCATGTTCCTTTACCCCCCTAAAACTAATTAGCTTCACACATGTTACTCAAGACTGAAGGACAAACCAAAACTTCTGCTGAAAATCAAAGTCAAAAACTGCAGGACATGTAAAGTACAAAAACGAAGAGAAAAATAATTTGATTCAGTTTTGTTCATTGTAATTTCAACCTAACCAGCCTACACGTTTAGTTAATAGTTTAATTGATTGCAAACATTCTTTAATTTGCTCTAAACAATGCTTTTTATATTTTTCTATTAAACATTTTTTTTTTGTCACACATAAACAATAGATACTAAAAGCACAAGTTACTGCAAAGGATGTGCAAAGATGCATTAATTTTTCAGGAAATTTATTCTTGCATTACGATATGGAAGAATATGCTGGCCTACACCAGCAGCCTGACAGGGCGAGAAGCACAGCTGATTTGACAGCTGGAGCTTGCAGTCGAGTACGGATAGACGTCTTTGTGAGCTGCTTGACATTGTCATTTATCAAATGAAGTGTACAGAGACATTTAGACTGGAAAGTGCAGACCACATACATTTTCTGTTTTCAGTGAGCAGTAAAGTCTCTGGACTTGCATATAAATGAACATAATACTGCACCATCTATTTCAATTAGCAGATGGAGGACAGTTAAGAGGCATAATTCTCTGTATGTGCAGCCAATAACCGTTAAAGGATGGTTGTTTTCTACAGATTTATCCCCGATTATTTATTTATTTTGATAAGTTGGCTATGTTCACTGAAAAGCAGAGCCAAAGACTTGTCTTTTACTTCAATCTCTACAGGGATTAGCGCTTATCGGGAAATGAAACTTATTATCAAGGGTTTATTATTTAAGTGCTTAGGGGTGAATTTCAACAATGCTGGTGCAAACTCTCTCTTCTCTCAAATATGCAAAAAAAAAAATAAAAATCTAAAACTTGTTCTAACAGCATTATTGAATATCACACTGAATATAAAAAGACTGTTGAGTATTTTTAGAGTAACAGGCGGTGACGTAACAACAGGAGTTGAAGATGGAAACAGCAGCCGACTGAAACATCTGGACATATTCTGAATTTTTTCTGAATTAAGTTTTCCAGAGTAAAAGTTTGGTGAGTCTCTCAATGTCGCTGACAATAAAAATGTAGAAATGTATTAGTGTTCATGATCTCTCAGGTTCGTGATGGCATGTTGTTGTTTTGTTTTTAGGGAATATCTCCAAAGGTTTTTGGGAATAAATAATTATCCTGATTAAGAAATGCACTTGGGATTAATTCTGATTTTCTTCCAGTGTCTGTTGTTGCTTGTGCCACCTGTGAATAATTTATTCATAATCCGTATACTGTTCCACATGAGTGAGAAAAATAACATGACATAAAGAAAATCCACAATTAGAAGCACCCCAGAGTTTCAGGATTTGAATTCCACATTATCTTTCAGTTACAAACTTAAATGAAGTCGTAGCGTTTGCAGTTAGATATGATAAAATATTCTAGGCTACAAAACCATTTCAGAATGTTTAAGTGTTGAATTATTGCCATTATGATGGTCTTTGGCCCTTTGACAACTTTGATTATTTATTTGGATTAATTTTTAAATACAATTTCTACAAAAGCTTATTTCTTTTTGTGAAGTTTGTAGTTTTATCAATTTCAGCGTCTCTTTCTCTGTCATCATTTGAGGACTACTAATTATTCATTTGTACTGTTCGATGTTTGACTCAGATTGCTGTCAAAATGAACGAATCCAACATTTCCACCATGTTCTGTTTTTCATGCAAGTTTGATGAAAACATCCTTGATTACCATCGATAATCAAACTAATACTAAGGGTTAATATTAATTAATAAATTTTACACTTCCTAAAGAAGTATATAGCACCTCTTAAGACAAAAATCACAAGGTTATTCACAAGGACAAACAATCAAAATAAAAACGTATTAAAAATGTGATAAAAATGGGGAAAATGGAAACATTTAAATAACAAAATGAGAAGGAAGACAAAAGATGAATGAGAAAATGTAATACGAGATCTCGAGAAAGGCAGAGTTGGTGGAAACAGCAGCATGAAAAATCAGAGTCCAGAATCAACAGGTCGTCACCCAAAGGCCCCACAAAGAAAACCCATCCTATTTATTCTGTAGCTTATCAATGGAATTTAAAGCAGAACTTAATCAGGTCTGAAACAGTCTTCTCCTTGACCTTTGCCCTATTTAGTCCATGTGTAAAGTACAATTTAAAATGGAATCACCAGCTTCAGAAGCTCAAGGTCATGCAGGTTGTTAGATATTTAAAGATGGGATTTTCCCACAATACTGCATTAAAACTTCATGATAACTTTACATTCTGTTGAAATTACATGCTAGTTTTTACTGGTTCTTTTGTATGATATAAAAAAAAGTTAAATAGGTTGTCAATGGTCATCTGAGTTCTACAGAATGCCAGAATCAGGGGAAACTGACAGGAGCAAGGCACCAGTCCTTCCAACCACCACCAACAGCACAACACCAGTGGCGTGTCTAGAAAATAAATTTGGGGGTGGCCAGGTAGAGGCACGAATTTGGACAAAGGGTGGCAAATGTAAACGACTCCTAACTTTGAATAAATATATTTTTTGTACAAAATCACAAAGCATTCATCATATTCAAATTGGCTAGCACAAAACTAATGGTGCACTTTTATCAACAAATGAATAAATATTTAAGAACATTTTCCTTGAATAAATGCACACACTTACTATTGTAAGATTGGAACTTTTGTCTGACATTGTAAGTCAGCATTGTTTTAGAAAAGAGAGGAGGGTGCACTTTGGATTTCCAGGCCAGTATTTTTGTGCTTTTTTTTTTCTTAACTTGTAAATATTTAAATATATTTCAGCTAACACCAGAAATGGGTGAGATTTAAAACCAAATATCATTGAAAAAAAAAAAGAAAACTATAAATGAAATAACATCAATCAGAAATTAAATGTCTGGCCAGGTTTGTTATTTTAATGCAATGGTCTCATTATATGAATTTCAGAAAGGTTTTGGAGCATGAATCAAGCTCAGTTTAATGCTGAAAATACTAAAATATAAAAGAAAAATTAAACTTCCAAATGTGTTTATTTACTTATATTTCTAGAGGATAAAACCCCTTGAGATGCATCATCTCGTTCTCAGGGAGTCCTCCTTTAAAACACCAAAGCAATGAGACTATCAGTGGCATAAGCCAAAACTAAGTAATACAATCAGACCAAAAAAATCCAGCAAAAACAAAAATAATAATGCAAAAATTAAAATAAAATAAAAATAAACAAGTAATGTCATCTAACATTTCACATTTTCTTGTTTACATGCTTTAGATGTCATGTTTTTATTGATTTTATGTTCTAGACGTTCTACTGCCTCAGTTTTTGGGGTGGCACCTGAGGGGGCCAGCCATTTTGCTCTGGTCACGCCCCTGCACAGGGCGGGGACTTTGTTGTCAACATCAAAATTTTGAGGACATTAAAAGGTGGATCTCTGTAGTTTTTGTGGCACAAAACTGTCATGCATGAAGACACCTGTGTCTTTTGGATAAACATGTGGAAAACAGATTCAGAGTGCAGTTAAATTTTAAAACTCCTCCTTTCACAAAACATCTCAGATGATGGAAATAGGAAGGCTTCTGAATCTGAAGTCATAAATATTCTTCAGATGATTGAAACAATAAGGCGAACCAAATGCATATCCGCTGGCTCATCTATAAATCATTTTCATGGCTCTCACCTCATTAATCAGGATCCAGTGACAATCGAAGGCAACCAGGTTTGTCTCCACAACCTAAAAATACAAAGACACAAGAATCAGTGGATGCACTGCAGACATTTATAAGTGTTAAAAAATACGATCATTTCAAAGAAATACATAAGTGTTTCTAGCAATTTCTGGTTGCATTCAGATGCCCACATTTTTGACTACATGAGTCACTGCATCTAAAGTGGTAATATAAAGTAAAAATAAGTATATGGAAATACATGAGGCTTAAAAATATATGTTATGTAGAAAAAACACATAAAAAGGCTTCACGGTATCAATCAAAATTATTTTCACACACATGCAAATACTGCAAGTCTTGCTTACATCTCAACTTTAAAGGTTTTCTCATTTAACACCGATTAGGCAAACTTTAGAGCGCACGCTCTGCTGCTGCTGTTTGAATTTCATTCACAGGAAAATATAAACAGTTCAAACCAAAGCTCCATTTTTTTCACAGAGAATAAAAAAAAATCTTTTAGGTTTGCTAATAATTAGCATTATGTAAGCTTTCATTCGCTCATTATTTCATTAGATTAGCTGCGGTCGCTGGTATGAATGAAAACCTTGTGAGTGGATCTGTGGGGAAAAAAAGCTCTGGTGTTCTTGTTTCAGGAAGAAGAAGTAAGCCAGAGGAAAAAGAGCAGAAAATGGCAGGATTTACAGTCTCGCTTATAATATTTTAGCGTACCAAAAGGCCAAGTATTTCATCAAAAATGACCAGAAGCTGACTTTTAACTTGCAGGTCAATCTAACACTGTGGTGCCTAATAAAGAAATGAACTTGAGCCAATATTCTTAGCATCCTGCATGCGTCACCAATCCTCAGGGCTGCAAGATGCAGGACTCCTTATCTTTTACTCTCTGAATAAAGCTCATCTTTCTTCACATAAATGACTTCAAAACTTCATATAATCATATTTGTTTGAATGAACAATATGTTTAAATCCAAAGTGTTTGAATAACATGTCCCATATTTTACATTGTGGGTTAAAATGAATACTTTTCCTGCAATGACTCATTTCAGATCTTAAACTACACCATCTTTCAGTTCTTTTTTAAAACACAGAAAAGGTTTAATTACCTGCAACGTTTGGTTTGCGGCTGCAAACATCATCAGGCTGGTGATGTTTGCAGCCGCAAACCAAACGCTGCAGGTAATTAAATGGTAAATGGCCTGTATTTGATATAGCGCCTTCTAGAGTCCTGGAACCCCCCAAGGTGCTTTACAACACAATCAGTCATTCACCCATTCACACACACATTCACACACTGGTGGTGATGAGCTACGATGTAGCCACAGCTGCCCTGGGGCACACTGACAGAGGCGAGGCTGCCGAGCACTGGCGCCACCGGTCCCTCCGACCACCACCAGCAGGCAACGTGGGTTAAGTGTCTTGCCCGAGGACACAACGACAGCGACAGACTGAGCGGGGCTCGAACCTGCAACCTTCCGATTACGGGGCGAGCACTTAACTCCTGTGCCACCGTCACCCCAACAATTAAACCTTTTCTGTGTTTTAAAAAGAACTGAAAGATGGAATTTGAAACTAAACACTGCAAGAACACACCAAAGATGTTTAAATTACACCAGATCAGGAATTGTTGATTCTGGTAATTAATCCGTATGAACACAACAATACCATAATATTATTATTAATGTATAACATTTTGCTCCACATAACATTTTCACTTCACACTAAGAGTTAACCTCTGAGTATCTGAGTGAAGGAGTGATCCTCTGAGGTCTTTAGTAATGCCTTTAAACCTGTCAAATTCTGATTTGTTTAAATTTGTCAACAATAAAGCTGATCTAGTCAGTTCTTCGTCAGCGTCCCAATTAGGCCCAACGGTTGAGCAAGCATTTGGAACTGTTCTCTCTTTTGACCAAGGCCACAGTCGCTCTGCAACGCTTGCGAGTGATCAGACTCTACAACACCTCAGACGTGGAACGTCTAACCTGCAAACCCTAGTTGCATCTCATGGCCGGATTAGAAATCTGAACTCAAAGGGAACTACGACGTCTGGTAAATCACCACTCTGGCTGCCTTCCCTCCAGACCGCCGATGAGCAACTGTCACAAAAGAGTAACGCAGACTCTGCACAATGGTGTCGGATGGTTTTACGAATAACCTCTAGCTTATCAAACCATACTGGCAAACTGATTTTACAACCCAGACATCCCAAGATCTCTCAGATACTTACAAGGTTTTGCTACAAACATCTAACATTCCACCATTTCATTCTTTATTTGTTATCTTGTACAACCATCATTTCATTCATACTTTGTCATGTGTAATCATTAGTTTAGAAAAACAGAATTAAACTAATTTTTATAACTATATACTCAAATCTGTCTGAATTAATATGAAGTGTGGGTTCCCTGAATAGTCAAAGAACGTAAAGCAATATTAAATCAAACATTCAAAGACCAATCAGATTGATAATTCATATCCATATGGAATATCATGTCTTCCTGATCGTTTAATAGATGTAGCTAATCCTCACCGCTACAATATCCATGATATACGAAAAACTCGCCTCTGATTGGCTAACAGCAACACAACTCTTCCACTGCCTCCATTCGTCCTATACCAGTGGTGTTTTATCTCCACAATAACACAAGCCTGAAGGAGTTAAGTTGCTGATGCTAATGGTTAGCTTCTACTAGCAGAGACGTGCTCTGCTCTCTCCTGGATGCTAAACCAGCAACAGCCTTCCTCGTCACGAACCAAGATGGGCGAGCTCTTGAACGCAAATTTACAATGTGTCATAGATCTGGCTGCCTTCTTCTGACAGGGCGTTTCCCCATCTATTTTCTTTCAGAGCCTAATGCAGGAAATAGGGGTAGAAAACTACGTTCACGATTAGCCTGCATGTGAAACTCAAAGTGACCAATCATATTTTGAAATATATCAAATAAAAAACAGTGATTATGCTCTTTTTTTTTTCTGGAACTGCGCTGCTCTGGGCGGCTGCATGTTGGAGTAGCTCTGTTGACTATATGTAAGTTTTGCCTTTTCTTGGGTATTTTTTCTTCTAGTTTCTCAAGGAAACTGTATTTTTTGGACACTTTACTTTTCTGTTTCTGGTGCTGTGAAACTTGGAGGATGTTTACTGCTATTTTTTAGCTTTTCTCACTTTTTGAGCATTTGTTATGATGCGTAACCATGGCAACAGTCTGGTTTACAATCGGGAGCAGCTGATTAGCATCGGAAAGGCTGAAATAATACCTCAACTGAAGCCACAAATCCCAAATGAACTAAAATGCAAGAAGCGTGGGTGCAGAGCGGGAGCAAAACGGAGACAGAGAGAGAAATTTCAAACCATCTCTTCCATCGACCATAATGGGCGACGTGAGATCACTAGCCAACAAGACGGAGGAACTCCAAGCCCTTTCAATGACTCAGCCAGAGTTTTGGCAGTTTCGGAACCGCTGGAGGAGAAAGAAGGATTCTCCAGAGAATCAAGAAAATGATGGACAACCCTGAGCACTCTCTTCACAAGACTGTCCGACAACGGAAGAGTGTCTTCAGTCAGAGGCTTCTTCAGTTTGGCTGCAACACTGACCGCTACTGGAGATCCTTCCTGCCAACAGCCATTGTAATAGCCAACAACTCTTTGATGACTTGATTATTATTATTATGCTGAGCTACTACAGCAATCAATTTCCCTCTGGGATTAATAAAGTAGTTTTGAATTGAATTGAATTAAAAAAATATCTTCAAAGAACAAAAAAAAATAAATCACAGGATCTGGTTTTCGCCCTTTAAACCAAACAGTTTGTTTTCATTATCTACTCTTTGTATTACTTCCTTAACCCTAACACATTTCAACAACAATCATTTCACTATCATCCTGCTTTTGACTTCCACTCACTTCTGGTTCTTGCCTAATTCACCCGTCGTTATTTTGTCATTTCCTAATTTTGGTTCTCTCATGCTTCCGCACCTTTCCTCCCACCCTTTTCCCTTTAATTGCTCACTTCTCACTCAGACTTCTTTTGTGCACTGACTCTTGCCTCCTCCCATCCCAGTGTAAAAATACAGTGCCACTCGTATTTCATTAGGTATAATTGTCTTGGTGACTAGAGCGCAGTATGTCATAAAACACTTTTTAGCCGTAAACAAAAGGCAACATCTAGAGAGGGTGGCAGAGCATAGTTAATAGTGGATTAATCTTCCACACAGTCTCCATAAAACTTCATCATTATAACATAGTGGGTGGCTGTAAAACACTGTGACAAGGATTAAGTCTAGAAGGAAAAGTGATGGAAAAGCAAAAACATTTTCCTCAGTCTTTCTCTCTTGTAAGGATTTACTTTGCCCTGCACCTGTACTTACTCTTTGTGTGGGATTAGATATGAGTTTATTTTCTGTCCCTTTATTGTATTTTATACTCTGAGACATGCAAGGGAAATAAAATTAAATCCAGCTCCCTGGTTTGTATTTTATTTCTTTTATCCTTTTTGTTCATTAGGACTTTGTAGAAGTTCACACTAACCCTGGCTTTCCACGGGAGCTGTCAGCAGCCGTCAGCAGCGCGAGTCGGCCGTGTCTCAGGAGCAGCATGTCGCGGCCTTTACGCGCCAGTTCTATTTTCTACGCGCGACGCCTCTGAAACGGGTCAAGTTCGACATTTTTGGGAAAGGAAAGACAGGAAATCGGACGCGAAAATGGAGAGAAGCTCCCGAGATTTTCAAAATAAAGAACGTACTGCCTTCCGGTTGCTTTACTTTTAAAAAAGGTTACTAACTGTGCGTCCCCGTGAGAAGTTATCACCTAGCTAGCGGTCTCCTTTGTTTTTCAGGTCCGTATTGGCGATTATAAAACAGACAGAACATAAAACACAAACCATGTTGTAGTTTTCTCCTGCTTGTTGTTGTGTTTACTGACGAAGTCACTCGGGTGACTTCGTGCTCAGTCGGTGACAGCTGCTCCCCTGCTGCTTCACGTCTCGTGGGAAGGGCCAAGCAGCAGCTTACGCGAGCAAGACGTGCTGCTGCAGTAACGTGCTGCTGACGGCTCC